ATACTTGGCTATGCAATTGTTTCCCAATTTATTGGAAAAAATATTGAAGTATAACATCCACTAAATACTTTGCCTTTATTGGGGTGGGGAGGAACAACCACTTTTCTGCTGAAGTCTATAACATTTTAATTTAGAAAATGATATCTTCAGCCTAGTTGCAAATAAATCATATTGTAGAACAAACAGAGCCAATATACACTGTCAGCCCAGTTAAAGTGCCCATATTCCCTTCAGGAGCAAGAATGTCAACAGTAAAGATTTGTACTGGTAGACTCAGAGAGGACAGAAAAATGCATGACTAGAAACATAACAAACATTTTCCATATGTTGCTTAATTTAAAGAGAACTCTAGGCGACAGAAGAAATGGTAGGAGAAAGACTTCAGACTGATAACTCACTTGTCTTTGGGAAGATCAGTTCATAAGCACAGCAAATTTAGTATACTCTCAAGCAGACTGAATACCACCCTAAATCTGGATATTTGCAGAACAGCAAGCAGTCAGCTCTGGAAATTTCACTTTCACAATAGGACCATAACACAAAAAGGCCCAAGCTCAGAGGGTAACATCCCACTATCCCTCTTTCACCCTACAGTCAAAAAAATTGCAGTAACAGAGATATGGAATGCCCACCTATAATGCCAGTCAGAATAGAGATGGCAGATTTAATGGGGTTTGAGTTCAGCTATTCCACAGAGTAGCTAAACAATCTTAGATGAAGAAGAAGGATCCCTGAATAAAAGAAGTTAAAGTGTCTGTGTCTCAGAGGAAACAGAGTCTCTGCTGTACTGCCAAGTTTCAATCACAAGCCTCTTGGGGACACATTTTTAGATATTAGGTGACTAACAATACCAGCAAGGACCAAATTCCCATTGTTCATTTTAAGGCAGTTATGCACTATGCAGTGTGAAACGCTAGTATCTCTTGCACACTTTCAGATGCCTAAATACTTTCAAAAATTTTTGCTCATTTCCTGCAGTGGCTCCATTCCTATTTCCCATTTCTAAGGCCAGAATTTCCTGAAGAAAAACATATTAATTTGTGAAGATTTCGCCGTCTTTCAGTAATGGGAGTCATCCAAGAGAAGAGAGGTAGATGACAGTAGGTAGATGACTGGTAATATAAAATAGGTAGGTGAGGTCTACGATCAACGAAATGTAATAGCATACATGAAAGTGAAGAAGTTGACCTTGGTGGACAAATGGAGGGGGACATCCAGGGACCACTTTATCTTTAGACAGCGGAAAGTCTACCACTGGAGGGAGCTACTACGTCATTTGTCAGTCCACAGGCAGTCACTAAAAGCCTGGACTTAATGTTCAGAAATTCCTAACACAGCCAAGGAAAGTTTATGATGCACAAAGCTAGTAACACTGCCTTTCAGGGATGCTCAAAATGCTTCATAGGACTTTTTGGCTGATCTCTGGGGGTAGCACATCCTCATGTAGACCCCAGCTATCCTGCAGTGACCATCTTTGTCACTACTGTAGTTGAAAGTTTTGACTATGCTTTAAAGTGCTGACCCAGTAATAAAAATAATAATAATAATAATAAAGCAACTCTATGAGGCATGTGTGTCACTAGGAAATGAAATACTGATGACCCAATTCTATATGTTTGGATCTTGGTGCCTCAAAAGTCTGAGAAGTCTTACAGTTAGGGCATGAAAATATGAGTGTGCTTAAAAACTGCAACCAACTAGAGACTAGCCAAGCCTATGGGTAAAGATGACAGAGAGTCAAGGTCTCTGGTTTCTAAATTGAGAAAAATTTTGGAATGTCAATACCAGGTATGAAATAAACCTGGAATAACTAGAGCTCAGTCAGGATCTCTGGTTGTGAGATAGGAAATCAACCAACACTTAAGAGGCATGAAAGGATTCCTACTCAGCTGATTTGCAAAAGCTTGCAGGAAACAAACAGGTTCTTCCCTTCTGTTGCCTTAGACTTAGCAAATCCTCTGTAAGTGGATCTTTTCTATTGAGGTCTGCAATATGAATTAGCTTTTGGGGGTTTGTTTGTTTTTCTGGGTGGTATATTCTGACTTTCTTCATTGTTAGTACCTAAGGAGCTAGGGACACTAACTTGTTTTACTTTCAGTGGAGTATAAGGCCATATGAGACTCTAAATCACAAAGATTTAATGAAGGGCAAGGAGGGATATTTCTTCTTCCTAAGGAATCAGCAAGAACTTGGTCTCTGTGAGACTTTAATCTTCCCCAGCTTTGAGCTTCCTCAGACTTCCTGTAGACAACAGAACCAATCAAAAAATGCAAGCGTAAGGGGAAGATGACTGTAGAACCCAAGGAGACAGTAATCTTTAGAAAAATCTCAGAAAAGGAAGTAAGAACAGCAAGAATTCTCATCCCTAGAGTGTGAATTTTGTTCATGTATCAGAAACTATCTTACAGAGCGTAAAGATCAGGTCTGTGTTGGAATGTCATACAGTGGGAAGAGAAAAGCTTGAGAAAAGGCAGTAGGAGATGAGGGGACACTGGAGATCTTTGAGACCAATAAGGGATATTCACCTTTTTTTCATGTGAGTCCTCTCTAATCTTACAAACTTTCAACATCAGCAGGCAATGCTTGAAGCTGAGCTCTCCAAAATTGTATGTGTTCTCACTGCTTCAAGCAACTTAAACCATAATGACTGGGGACCTAGACTCCTTAGAACAGCGCAGAGGTAGAGCAAGAACTCTGCAAGCAATGGAAGAAAAGGAATATCTAAGTAGGAGAAAAAGAAAAAGGCAAAAACCCTGAGAAGAACCTGGAAGCTTTTTCAGCCTCCAACTTGAAGAAGGAGGGCCTAATGCCAAATGTCTATTAGCAACACCAACAAACCAGTCCCTCAGCACTGCCACAGCATGGTCTGTACTTACAGATGCAATGTGGTGACAGTACACAGCACAGTCCATATTTAGTCTGTCTGGGACCCAGAGAATGTGAGAGAAAAACAAAATCTTTGAAAAAATACTTATATATTCATTATAAGCAAATTCTCTATCTTCTGCACTATGAATGAGGCTGTAGACAGGTTCTTAAAGGTGAAAAAGGCAACTCATAACAATCTCCAAACTGTTCAGATTCACTGCTGATAAAATATTCTTTTTGTCACTTCAAACTTTATTCCTAAATGACTATATTAAAAATAAGATAATTACAAAATATTATATTGCAAGTCAGAAGCTATTTTTCCTCAGTTTCCTATCCAAAATAGACTTAAATTAACAGAGGAGAAGTTATTACTAGTACTCAAAGACCACGCAATGCTTTTAGAATATTAGGTTACACATAGCCTTAACTCAGGAAAGCACTTAAATCCATTCTTGTTTTCAGGAAAAAGGGAAAGTCTTCCTGACTCAGGGCCTCTAAAGGAGAGGTGTGACATATCATATAGATACTGCTTGGGCATACAGTAAAGATTTGACTGGTTTGTTTCACAAATTCTTGAACTCCACAACAAGTCTTATTCCAATATGAATTAAAAATAAGCCAGTTCAATTGAAAGTGCAATTCTTCTTTAAGAGCCAAGTTGTCTCTACTTTCATCCATCATTTTTGCAGCAAAACAGTCACAAGTTGAAACAGAAACATGATGACAGTAGCCCACGCATTTTGGTAATTCAGAAAGTTCACACAAAATATTAGCACTCACCAAAAATAACATTCTGGTTCGTATAGTTATGAAAATGTTCTACTGATTCTGAAATGTTTCTGACTTTTCTCATTATGAAATACATAGGCAGAGCAGCAGCTCTGCAACTGTAAAATACCCTCATTCATTTCTACAAGCTATGAATTCAATGCTAATACCACTGATATTTTAACATCGATATTATTTGCTAGTGCATGGAACTTGTGGACAAAGCATTATAAAACAGACAACTCAAGTGCTTTTTGGATTTGATTAGTTATCCAAAAATTCTGAGATTCAAAAGCTGTTCTAGGTCATGGCCCTTCTCAGGACTGTATTTCCCCCCCCCCAGGATTTCTTTAAAAATGCATCCAATCAAATTAGAAAAAACATATGCAATGAAGAATCTGACACTTCCCCTGGGAGACTTTTCCATAGCCAACAAGTTGATGTTTTTCCCCAAGTTGAATTTTAATGTAATTTCATTGCATTGCCCATTCTCATGGAAGCAAAGAGAAAGAGTCCCCAGAGAAGGCAACAGGGGGGAAAAAAAAAAAAAAAAAACAAAACCAAACAACCAAACAATTGCTAAACTACACTGAAAAAGTGTATAAAAGCAATTCAGCTGTGAAGTGTATTGATGAAAGGGGAACCATGAAGGTAAGGGTTAACTTAAGTCACAAAAGCAGATTCCCAGCTTTCTCTTCTCCATCAGCACAGAAGAGCCACAGATGCATGAGGATGTCTCCTAAGAAAAAAATAAGTATGAAAAAACACTTGGGTTATCATTCCATAAATACACCTTTGGGAAAAGAACCAAAGTTCCCTTAGAATTGCTTGACTTCCTACTTCCCAGGGTAGGAAGAAAAAGCACTTTGAAAGCTGTTATTACAGTCTTGAAAAGGTATCAGCCATGTTATCTTCCTACTTCTTCTCATAAACAAAACTACCATACTAGACAGCACTACCATAGTTTTCACAGAAACATTGTACAGTCTATTGCTCTGTCCATGAGAATATCCAATGAAAGATGTTGCCAAGTGAGATATCATAAAATATCCGATTTAGTCTATAAAGATTTTTCTTCCCTCACAACTTAATAAATAGTATCTTGCTGCTTATTTAACATATCCTACAGCTAAAGAATATAATTACTTTTTTTTAAATTCCTTCACCTTCTCTATTGCTAGCAAGAGTTGGTGAAAAGACAGTTTAGAGAATTAGTGCAGGATGTGTATGCAGACAGCTATTTTGAAAACATTATAAACACAAAACTCCTGGAAGTTATCATACAAAGAGAGACAAAAGAAAACATTTCACAGTCATCGGTAGTGTCAGCCACAGAAGCAAATATTTGTCATCTAAAAGAGATACATAATGTAAAAGCCCAAATCAGTATTAAAAAAAAAATAATAGATACCCTCCAGGAAATATCTAGTCCCCACTGCTGTCAACAGAGAGACTCAAGTAACATCAGAGGGAAGTAGATGCAAATTTGATCTCTGTCCTTCAGAATCTCAGAATCAAAAAAAAAAAAAAAGCATAGCAATGGCCAGCAACAACTATACACTAAAGGCCCAATTAATTTAGAAAAGAAAACATAAATAATTTGTTAATCAATAAAAAGAAAACTAAAAGAGCTTAAAGACATTTCACGTGTCCTCATCCACAACTTCCTTCCGGCGCTGGGACCGGAAATGACGCTCGATGTTTATTGTCACTTCTCTCTGCAAATTTCTGCTGTTAGTTTTTCCAGCTGTTCTGATCCAAGGGTGCTGAAGCACTTGTCGTGCTGTGTAGCGTTTCTGGGGATCCACTATCAACAGCCTGGTTATGAGGTCTTTTGCTGCTATTATGAAAGAAAGAAAAGGAGGGAGGGGAGAAGAACAGTGACGTAATGAAGCTGACAGTTACACCTATACAAAAAGTCTTTTTTATTCTGTCTTATTAATTTTACCATAATGACTTTTGTGACTATCCCCAGGAGATACTCTAACAACTGAATTTAGAACTAGTGACAGAAGACGTTAAATCTCCAGCATATCTTTTACTGATATCATTCTCCCCTTCAGAAAGAGAGGAGAAGGTGAAGGGAATTTAATCTTGAAAGCATGCTGAAGGCATCAGGCTAGGTGTTCAGATTCACAGGAGTTCACATTGGGTATCTCATCCCTCAAGGAGCATAAAAGTCGTAGAATGCTGTTGAGCATTTTCTTTAAAAAGATTGTATAGGAAGAGAGGGGTTTTCCGGTTTCCGATTTTGAAGAGTACACAAAAGACACTGTACTAGCCTATAAGAAGGAAAAAACTACTACATGCAGACCCCATTGATCTCAATAGAAAAATCCACACTGCGTTCTGCAGAGCAAGGATTTCATTCTCAGCTTTTAGGATTTTTGCATACAAGTTTACAATCTAACATAAACCTGGAGATTATTTTGATACCTTTTTCTACAGAGACAATTCATAAAAGCAAGGTGAAGAAAACCTTGCTCTTGCCTCAGAATGGGAGCAATCAATTAAATCAATCAGACCTACTATTCAGATTCACAGCCATTGATACTACCAGAGGACTAAATTCAGATTTAAAGCAAACACAGAATCACACAAAAGAGGCCTGTAAGACACCCCCAAGCTCATTGAGCTCACTGCCCTGAACAAAAGGGCATTCTTCCCACTCCAGAAAGAAGTCTGTCACTTCTCAGATCTGCTATACATGCTGAATCTTACCTGCAGAAATATTGTCCCAGTATGGGGAAAGGAACTCATAGTGACCAAGCTGTATGATCTGAAACAGCTCTTCCTGATCACGTTCCTGACTGCGAAAAGGGGGAAAACCGCAGAGCAGAATGTAAAGGATCACTCCAGCTGCCCACATATCTACTTCGAGCCCATAGCCTAAGGAAGAAAAGACAACCCAAAAGTCCTGTTTTAGAAAGAAAACTCACAACTGGTAAAGAACTGTTTCTTTTTCATTCTATTTTCCAAGAGACACACAAGCTCTACTCAGTTTCTCAAAAAGATGAGGTCAGCAGAAGAATAAGTGGCTGGTACACCATGCTTACAAGCTGAGCTGCTCTGCCTGTTAATAACTACAGCTCTCACAAAGTGCCTCTCTTCTTCAACACGTTTCACAAACACTGTCTCACAAGGCCAGTGTCAACTGGAGATTAATTGAGAAAACAGCATATATTTCTAAAATAGTTCTCCTCAGATTCTCTTTGAAAAAGCACTAAGAGTGCCAAGTTTCCATTGAAATTGGATATAACTGGAGATGTGCAACCCAGCTCCACAGAACAAAAACCATAAATACCTTTCCTTGAGTCATCAACAAAACCGACTCCTTTCCAGGTCTGAATCTTTTTGGATATGATATTTCCAAAATTTCATCTGATGCAAAACATGTTTTGGCTTCTTACATAAGTTTAACATATATGTTCACGTTTTTGCATCATTAGGGGCCTTGGAAAGTTTTTTTGGTTACAGTCATGAAATGGGGCTGACTAGCCTCAGGTTGCAACATGAGCTTTTGTTCACTTCCCCACTTCAGCAATTACCATCTATGATAATTTATGGCTTATCTGCTTGGAAATCAGTGTTATATTACCATAGACATTAATAATGCAAACATGACTGATGTCATGCTTGTGTTTGTCAAAAGCTAAAAGGTTTCCTTTCCTTTCACAGATTACACTGCTAGCCAACCTCCTACCCTGTAAAGACATATCAGTAGGCTTAAACATTCTGGAATATATCCATGATTAGAAAGTGCAGAGGAATCATATGATTTACAACAAATTACATATATATGCACTCACCCTTCTCAGCAAGTATTTCGGGGGCAACATACGTTGGTGTTCCACACACAGTAAATATGGGTTTTGTAACTTGCTTTGCAAGGCCAAAATCTGCTAGTTTCAGTGTAGTAGACTTATCTGCATTATGCTGAACCTACACACAACAAAAAATACATATATTTAGTCCAGATGCATTTTAAGACAGCAAAAGATAAAGGAAGTAGTTAATAATAAACCGGAAGATGTTCTAATAATAGCACCTTCAAGTAAAGCAACATGAAATGGAAACAGTATTTTGATAAACAGTATTCAGAAAGTGGTTTTTTTCCCCCCATATACTAAGAGGGTGCATATATTTAAGAGGGCAAGCAATAATGGAAGAAAAAAACCCCTTTGCTCTACTAACTCTGTTACACTGTAATTTCCAAAAATGAAAAGGAGGAAGACAAAAAAAATAACCACGAGTCAATTACATGTTATTATTTCCTCTTGGGAAAGTAAATTCTTCTTTTCCCCTGGGAAAGCAAAGAAGAATGCTGTGGGTGTCTTTACACTTAGACATGATATTCCCAGGTAAACTACTGACTTTACAGTGTCACTTGAAAAGCATATCGCCATCATACCAGTCTAACAAAAAAGAAAAAATCCAAAACAAACAAAAGCTTTACTTTCTTTACAAATTACTCTGCTACTCTACCTGCTGCCCTGAAAATAAATAAGTCACAATCATCACATAATAAGAGTTGGAGAAATGGATCCGTGCACAACGTCCTCCTAAACCGGTCTTTTCAGCAGTTCCCATCTCCTACATCCACCTGGAAAGTAATCAAAACACTTCTCCCCATTCTAATTTTGTACGCATGGGTCTTTAGCATTAATCTGTAATACAGTTAATGAAACATTATTTTCGGAAACAAAATACATCAATGACAGAGAGAGTGGGATCAAGTGCACCCTCAGCAAGTTTGCAGATGACACCAAGCTGAGTGGTGCGGTCAACACACCTGAGGGATGGGATGCCATCCAGAGGGACCTGGACAAGCTTAAGAAGTGGGCCCATGTGAACCTCATGAGGTTCAACAAGGCCAAGTGCAAGGTCCTGCACATGGGCTGGGGCAACCCCTGGTATCAATACAGGCTGGGGGATGAAGGGATTGACAGCAGCCCTGCACAGAAGGACTTGGGGGTGTTGGTTGACAAGAAGCTCAACATGAGCCAGCAATACGTGTTTGGAGCCCAGAAAGCCAGCCATATCCTGAGCTGCATCAAAAGTATCATGGCCAGGAGGTCGAGGGAGGTGATTCTCCCCCTCTACTGCACTCTCATGAGACCCCACCTGCAGTACTGCGTTCAGCTCTGGGGTCCCCAGCATTGGAAAGACATGGAACTGTTGGAGCGGGTCCAGAGGAGAGCCACAAAGATGATCAGAGGGCTGGAACACCTCTGTTGTGAAGACAGGCTGAGAGAGTTGGGGTTATTCAGGCTGGAGAAGAGAAGGCTCCGGGGAGACCTTATTGTGACTTTTCAATACTCAAAGGGGGCTTATAAGAAAGACAGGGACAGGATTTTTAGTAGGGCCTGTAGCAATAAGACAAGGGGCAATGGTTTTAAACTAAAGGAGGGTAGATTCAGACTAGATAGAAGGAAGAATTTTTTTATGATGAGGGTGGTGAGGCACTGGAACAGGTTGCCCAGAGAGGTTGTGAATGCCCCATCCTCAGAAACGTTCAAGGTCAGGTTGGACTGGGCTCTGAGCAACCTGATCTAATTAAATGTCCCTGCTCATTGCAGGGGGGGGTTGGACTAGATGACCTTTAAAGGTCCCTTCCAACCCAAACTATTCTATGATTCTTTATTCAAAGGCCAAGTCATGAAGAATGTAGCAGTGTAATTAAACACATCAGTATTCTTAATACTGGTGACTGATATTCAAATATTCTTTAAGAGGTAAAAAATGTCATGAATTTGCTTTAAATGAAAAGTGGTCTGTCTCTGAAACTATGGGGAACAGTTCAGCAGCTAAAATGTCTACAAGGAAGCCAAGGAAATCTGGACTCCAGCTTTGAATAGACAAATTGGAATATAATGCAACAGGTATACTCCATATTTTAACGCCTCATACTTTGCCATCAGACAGTACTTGAGAAAGTAAAAAATTAAAGACAGTTTCTTTTATAAGACAACTAAGGGCACAGATGGGACAAAATTTGCTCTCCTACAGTGCAGCCGAGTAATCCCCTTTCACCATCGTTACAGAAACTGTAAGCATTTATCCAATTTTCATTAAGCAAAAAGTTTTGGGTTTTTTCCCTTTTTTTTGTTTTGTAGAAAAAGTGTTACATTACAAAATAAAACATTATAATTTACTAATCCCCTTTTATCATCTTTATAGAAAATATAAGCACTCTAGTTTTGATTAAGCAAAACATTTTGGGTTTTTTTCTAAAAAAAAAATGTATATATATATTTTTCAGTATGAAACTGAAAATAAAGTTTACTACAACCATGCAGTCAAAACTTCTGCAGGAGAAACCTAAAAGGCCATAACCATTTTCTCTATTACATTAGTCAACTTCATGATGATTTTTGCCATGATGCACTGTGGACACAACAGCTGACAAAAATGAAAAATAAATTAGAGGTAACAGTTACTTTCTAGAGCAGCATCTATCCACAGGATGTATATTCTAACAACAGGGGTAACAGTGGTAGAATGCTAAAAAACTTCACAATTTAAATACTCAATTTTATATATATTATGAAAATATGAGCATGAATATATTGCCCTATTGTATAAATAACACTTTTAAAATTATATAAGAAAACTAGGTCATGTGGAATTTCAACTAATAGCCTGCATGCTACTGGACTAAGACAATACTGAAATGTTTGTATAAATTTTTAGAAACCAGCAGGGGAGTGGGGAGAGTGGAGAACACACTGGTCTTAATCCCAATCCCAAAATCAGCAGGAAATGTCTTGCTTTCTAAAATACACTGTTGTACTTTTTCTTTTCTTGGGATGCCAGATTCCTAATCTCTCATCACAGCACAAGGTGGCAACACCACGCCATCTGCTCTTCCAGGACAAAACCACTGAGCTTTCATTTTACTTAAGAACCAAACAGGTAGGAACAGCATGCACCATGGGTATATTTTCACAGCTTTGTGACAATCATTTCAAAGACAGCATGTAACCTGTCAGTACACCTGAAAACCTTAGCCCAGAACTCCTCAGCATCTTCACTAACACTATGCTCAGATCAGCTTAAAGTCAGCTCGGGCAGAGTGAGCATTCCCTTCATCTCCAGCTTTGTACTCTCCAGTTTACATTTCCATCACCTGGCATCACTTTGAGCACGCAAATGTTCTTCACTGTAGAAACAAAAGCTTCTGAGGTTGCTTTTACTCCTTCCTGAGGCCAGACTACTTACTCATAGCAGTATCACAGAAATGTACAACCTGCTCAAGAGAAATCTAGCCTCTGACATCTACAGTATGTGCTCTATGAAATGGTGAGAACAAAGCAAAAATGGTAACATTAAACGAACACACTAGCCTTACTGTGATACCTAAAAGACAGCTATTACTGTTTCTGCATTCAAGACTACAAAGAATGGTTTCAAATGTCCATTTAAAAGTGTTGCCTTGTCTCACCTGCCTATAGAGTTAATTGAGATAAGGAAGACCAGTATTCAGTAAGCTTTCTATAGACAACCAGTTTAGGCCATACAACTACTTTTGTCCTTCAACTGCAAGGGAAGCCAGTATCTGGCAGTCTCAGATCAAAGGCAGTCAGAATTGTTCACTACTGTCTCAAATACAGACACCATAGCATAATATTAGAATATTGTCTGAGCATTTCTAGCTATCCCAGCCACACATCCAGAAGATTATAATACATTAATACAAAGCCAAGTTCATCTTCAAAGAAGGGATGAACTAATCTTTTCCTTTTCTCCTCTCTGTTGATGACTCCCAGTACTTCATAGTCTTGTATGTTTTCACACCTACCTTGTGAAATCCATCAGGGTGTTTAAGATGATGATTTCTAGCATTAACATTTCCCTGTATGCACATACATATGGTAGCACAGATTCTTCTTATAGACGTCATGAAAGCAAGCTAGCCCATGGGATGTTTTGTATATTAGAAATAGAGCTAAAGAAAAAGTACTGCCTACATGTTTTGAGTTTCAGGCATCCCTTGCTGCTAGCTAGAAGAATGTCTATGAAAAATCTTACAGAAGATTCCCTACGTATGTTTATCGTACCGAAAGCTCTTGACAGGTAACTGGTTAAACAGGCTTCTAACTCAGAAACCTCTGACAGCACTTTGTGTATATGCAAATAGTGTCACAAAAGCAAAGTTAAAGGACAGAAAGGCTATACTTCAAGTTCTCATACATACATGAAAACTTGAGAGAAGAAGGAAGGGGGGGTGGGGAGGGAAAAACCTCAAACACATAAAAAGCTGTAACACTGTGTCCTGGTTTCGGCTGGGACAGAGTTAATTGTCTTCCTAGTAGCTGGTGTAATGCTATGTTTTGGGTTCAGTATGAGAATAATGTTAACACACTGATGTTTTCCATTGTTGCTAAAGGAATGTTTAAACTAAGTCAAGGACTTTTCAGCTTCTCATGCCCAGCCAGCAAGAAGGCTGGAGGGGCACAAGAAGTTGGGAGGGGACACAGCCAGGGCAGCTGACCCAAACTGGCCAAAGGGATATTCCATACCACGTGACATCATGCCCAGTATATAAACTGGGGGCGAGTTGGCCAGGGAAGGATGTATCACTGCTCAGGAACTGGGCATCAGTCAGCAAGTGGTAAGCAATTGCATTGTGCATCACTTGTTTTGTATATTCCAATCCTTTTATTATTATTATTCTTGTCATTTTATTACTGTTATTATCATTATTAGTTTCTTCCTTTCTGTTCTCTTAAACTGTTCTTATCTCAACCTACGAGTTTTACTTTTTTTTTTCCCCCGATTCTCTCCACCATCCCACTGGGTGGGAAGAGTGAGTGAGCAGCTGCATGGTGCTTAGTTACCAGCTGGGGTTAAACCATGACACATGCTGATATTATTAATGAAGCTGAGTGCTAAACAACTACCACATTAGTATGTTTGGGAAGCATACAAGGAGATGAGTATACAATCACAAATACAACCCTCCCCCTTTCCCCAGAAGGGGGCAAGGAGGTGACTTTGTATCTTTTACAGCTGTAACTTGGAAAAAACACTACTACACTTTGAAATTAATTTTTCACTCACAAGTCAAGAAATGCCAACACCTGTAGAATTAAACAGTCCCTTAGCTAAAAACCTTGCCAGCAAATTCTGGTCCTCCATGTAGCATCAAAGAAGCGACTGGCTTCTTTTCTGGGACCAAACATACCACATTGCTCATCCTTGGTAGCAAAAGTATTCTTGCTGAACACCTAGTCCTAAATGAGGTGATTCTGTTACCAGATGGGAGGGAATCGGAGCAGTTGTCTTCACACCAGCTGTCAAACAGATTTTGTTTCTGTAGCGCAAGTTACCACCCTTCTGCCTCAGAGCTATGCTGCAAGGAGCCTGATCACTGTGGGCAGACACAGCAGTGAAAGAGAGGCGGAAAACAAAAAAGAATGGTGGTGGACTGTTACAGAAGTTTATAACCAGAGGACAGTTCCATAAGAGAAACAGTAGTGCAGTGAACTAATAATTAAACCAGGTTTCCAACTCTCTCCTGTGCCAGTAATTTTACAATTCACTAGACATGAAAGTGTATTTCCACCTTTTCCTCTGCAGGGACAGAAACAGTTTTCCTTCTTTCCCCAGCTGCTTATTTTTGTGAAATTTATGGAAATTTTTTTTTCCCAGTTTGCTGCTTCTCTGTCAACTCTGATGGAAATTAGCCAGGACATCAAAAGTCATTAGGATCAGGGTTAGATTCTCACACAAAGCACATTTACAGTAGACAAACACATTTCCTTAGTAAAACAGACCAAGGATCTTTTCTCTTCCATTTCCCGTTTGCTGGAAAGGGTTAGGGAAAAACTGTTGACAAGAAAATACAAAGGACAAGAAGAAAACCCCAAAGTAGGACAAAGAAGCCAACAGCCTAAAAGTACATACCTATTTCTGTCCTCCATATACAAATAAAGTCTAGGAAGACTAATTCAGACTTAAACATCTGCAGTGTAGGAATCTGAAGAGAAGCAAGAGGTACCCCAGAACCATGGACATCCCCTGAAGGAAGCCAGCACTTCCAGAACTGTGTTTCCTCTCCAGAAGGCTGCCCCCAGTCCCTGAACCACAAACAGCGGAGGAACCCGTGAAATTTGCTTCAGTACTGTTTGTTATTGTTCAGCACTGGCTGACGTTAGGATTAGTGACAGCTCTCCTTCCTACTCCACCGCTACTGCCCTAGTCACTCTGAGGAGTCAGAGGCAACACATTAAAAAGTCAGAAAAGCCAGAATCTTGGTCAAATGCCCTGTATTTATAGGGATGCATATTAAATAGCACGTGAGCTATCCAACACTATCAAGAGCTTATAAACTCATTCGGCTTGTTGAACGGACTAACTTTTCAAAAGGTTGCTTTATATAAATGATATCTAATACAGGTGTTCACAGCCAATTAGCAGCAAGGTGAAACTGGAACAGGTACAATTTTCTTTCCCATAGTGTTTGGGTAACACTGTTCTCATACAACAAAATACCTGCAGGCTGGGGACCAGTCTGTCCTTGAAAAATATTTTCTGTCAGAATGGGCAACATGATTATTTCAGTGCTACACAACTTTGCCACTGCCCAGGAATCTCTGTTTTGCAATGCTGTGAACTAAACGTGAAAAAAAACAGAATGGACCCGTATCTTGCCTCTTTTTGCTTACCTGCATTGCTGCGATGATTACATATTATAGAAGGAAATGAAACATCTGGTCTCAGGTGTTTCACATGCCCTAGCTGATTTTCAACAAATAGGAAGGAGCAGCGCCTGGTTCATAATGGAAAATCAGCTTCTGGAAAAAGCCCTGCAGTTCTAAGTGAAGTTTTGTTCTAATGGCAAAATGAGGCATGAAGGCAGGGCCTAGAAGCCTACTTCTTCCTGCAGCAAGCCAGCCACTTGCCCTCACTACCTTTTATTTACACACAGAGCACATATCAAGGATTTTCATCAGACTAAGCAGGATGCATTGCAAGACCTAGTACAGATCCTATTGGTTAGTCAAAAGGTTTGGGAGCAAACTGTTGAGGCCCAGCCTTGTTCATTCAAGCTCTGCACGTCCTACAGGCTACACTGCTGCTCTTCTCCATAAATTCACACTGATTTCTTTCCAAAATTAATTCCCTTAAAGAACTGAATGGCACATAGGACTAAATGATCTATTACCTTTTTTTTCTGACTAACTATGATCTTCCACCAGCAGATAAAAATCTGATTTGTTAGAGACAGGCAAATATTTGGTATCTATCAGGAAATTTGGAACCCTAGTACAAGAGTGTAACACATGATTAGCGAGGGAGAGTTGTTTACTGTTACTGTTCTACAATGGGTGTCTTGTCAAGTGTCAATACTGCAAACATTTCTATGCCTATTCACACATGTGAGTAACTATTGACTTCAGTGCTGGATGCAAAGAATGTAGCCTCAGAAATGTGATAGAGAAAAGAACTTTTCTCTTTGGCATGAAGTTAGTATTTGAGCTGACTTTAGTGCTGTATTTCACCAAAACATTCACATTTTACTGTCAGAGTATTTCAATCAACTGCATCATACTTCTGCTCCTAAGAAAATAAATTGTCACAAGATAGAAATCACTACAGTAGAGGACCAGCACAGCAGTCTGCAGGATGTATGATTGCAGTGGGCAAAAAGTCCACCAAATAAATAAGTTAAATTAGCAATTTTAATAAATTTTGGTCTGCAAGGAAGATGCCTTGTAATACAGTGTAATTCATGCAAAAAAATTCATCCTTGCATACCTAAAAGTCAGATACTAAGTAACGGGCCTGATTTCCAGAAAAATACAAATGCTCACTACCCCTGAAAGCCAGGTCATTTTTATTTGAATTTCTATCTGCAAGCACTGCTATCTGCAATGCACAGAAGATCTACATGAAGTAAACTGTAATAGTAATTTCACTTCAAAATTGTACCCATTTTCCCAAACAATCCTGCCACAGCACATTATCTCTGCACAGTATTTGCTTAAAAATATTCAAAGATCCACAACTAAAAGAAAAATAAATTCAACTCCTGCACATATGCAATGTGTTTGCTAATACTTACCAAAAGATTCTCTGGTTTGAGGTCCCTGTGGACAATGTTCTTGCTGTGGATATAAACCAGTGCTTCACACAGGTCAGTGATCATGACAGCAGCATCATGTTCCGTGAACTTCACACTTTCTATGATTGCATCAAATAAGTCCCCTCCTGGGACATACTCTAGGATTAGGTAGATCTCAGCTTCTGTCTCATACACTTCAATTAAGCTTACTATATTGGGATGAGAGAGACTCCTAATGATCAGAATTTCACTTTCCATCATGTCCTCTTTCCCCTTCAGCTTGGATTTATCAACAATTTTCATGGCATAGATCTGATTGGAGTCACAGTGCCGACATTCCTTCACCACTGCAAAGTTTCCATCCCCGATAGTTCTGCCAATCTCATAGTGTTTTTCCACATCAGCTCTGTTTTTAATGGCATGCCTCCGGCTTGTGTTTTCCAATCCCTGAGGCCTGTTTTCTTCTTTATTCACTCTGCGCTCCCCTGTTTTTTCTCGTCGCATCATGTCACTCTCTCTACGCATGATATTCCCCTCTCTTCTGGCACCCTCCTCTTTAGCCCTTTGTCCCTCTCTGCCCTCCCTATGTGTTTTAGATAGTTTCTCAGCATCCCTCAGAGTGTCTTTCTTTAGCCAACCACTTTGGTTCATTACACAGCTACTTCCATCCTCTTCCTTTGCTTCATGAGTTAGCTGCAGCCCTTCTAGAGCATTCTTCTTGATTTTTACTACTTCCTTCCCATGGTTTTCATGTTTCTCCACATCCCTTTCCTTCTCAATGCTCCTTTTTTGCTTCTCCAGCTCTTCATTAACATTCCTATGTAGGGACTTCCATGTCCTCCTACAGCCATTATCTTTCCAACCAACTTCCTCACCTTCCAGACAAGTTTCTGAAGATTTTCGGCAATTCCTGATCTTTGCATTTCTTTCTACATGGTACCTCTGACATGCACCTGTGTTCAGGTCTCTGTTCTCAAATGAGGCCTCAGCCTGCCTTTCCCTTTGTAACTTTTGCCTGGCCTGCCTTTCCTGTTCGCACTTCTCACACCTCACCACCTCCTCTGAACTCTCTTCTAATCCCTCCTCAGGACTCCTCTCATGGTTAAGGTACCTCTCACTTTCTCGGGTTTTTCTAGAAGGCTTCACTCCTTGCTCACTACCCCAGCTCTCTCTAGTCCACTTTTTTTTGATTCTCATTTTTTCTTCTTGCTTTGTCTTGGCTTGACTTTTTCCTTCATGTCTAACTACCAGTTTGGGAGACATGTCTTCACTGCAGTTCTTGGTAATTTCTGTCTCATCAAAGCCACTGTCCACTTTTGAAGCCTTGTCATACAGCCTGCTCTTCAGTTTTTGTGACTGCTCCTCATTCTCCTGAATGGCAGCACTGGCAGCATATGGATTTTCAGGATAAAGTTCTTGTAATACCACCTCCAGGTTCTTCAAAGTGAGGGGCTCCCTCCCCATGGCTATGAATGCATCACCTTCCCTGAAGAAGTCAGAAACACTTCGGATTTCTCTGCCTCTCAGATTGTAAAGCTTTCTCACACGGTCATTCTTCCAGCGTGGAAATCCCAGAGCTTCTGATATGTCAGCCATCAGCTGTTCAAAGGTCTGGACCGATCTCCTGTTGAGAAGCAAGGTTATCCTTCTGAGTGTGTGTCCGCCAGGTTTCACCACTGTAATAATCCTTGGCTTCACAGGGCTGTGTTCTGAATGTATCGTGTGAAAACTATTACGGGGATTAAAAAATGGGGACCTATGAGCACTTTCACTCAAACATGGTTTTCCATAGTTTCCACGACCAACAGGAGGACAAGTCCCTTGTAGTTTCCTCTCTTTTACTTTTGAGCTTGCATTGTGTAACGAATAGCCAAAGAAGCCTCGGCGTCCTAAAGCAAAAGAAGAGCAGGCATATTATTAATTTTGCATAATCAGATCTTTCTGATGTGCTACATATCACTGTAAGTTACCTTAGAGAGTAAGGGTCGGTGCATTCAATGCTTATAAAAAACTTTAAATGCCACTAAGGAATAACTCCACATACATGCAACTACAAATATTTTCAAGTTTGTGAGAAAATGTAAATGCACTTTGTGACAGAGAAATGGCATTAAAAAAATAATAATACTGGAAACAAATAGATCCTTCTCCTAATCCTCCCATCTTCCAGACATCCTAAAAAAAAAAAGGAGTTACTTGTGCCAGGATTGCATCCAGATTGTTTAGCATTTTTTTATGAATCTACCTACCATGAACTCTTTCAATTCCTTTCTGAACCCAATTACAATTTTGGCTTCTGTAAACTCTGTGGCAACAAGTTCCACAATTACATTGCATTAAGTAAAAGAAACTAATTGCTTCTGTTTTAAAATTGCTACCAGATGGCTATGTGTGTGCAACCTTATATTCTTATAATTATCTCCTCTTCACTTTCCCTGGACCATTCATTTAGTTTCTAGACTTATATAACAAATTAAGTAAATGAGATTCTTTTTAAAATGCATTACTTTAGCTACAATTTTACAGCAATTTTGTACTACATTTAAAAGTAATGTAATTTAATTTTTTCCTTTAAAGAAAGGCTATCTTAGTTTTGTTTGATAATTGGAATCCTGGTTTTCCAATATTTTGGTTTGACTTTTCTTTTCTAAAAATTATGTAAAATCAAAGTCCTTTATATCCTCTACGCACATTAACAATTTTCCCTCCAATATTTCATCTTAGAAGACCAACCAAAGAAAACAGCACCATTTGTTACATGTAATTCTGAAAAAGAAGAACTGAAAACGAAACACGTGGCTAGGGAAAAAACAAGCTATAACATAATTCACTGTCTATAAACACAACACTAAGCTAAGAACAAAAATGTCCCCTTAAAGTACTCCGATTTCTTGTACTTATTAAGATTAAAACTTGATTACAATGCAAGTCTTTTCAGCATCAAGAAAAAACTTTCAGAATGAGATCACAGAGCATTTCCAACTCCATTTAACAGTCTTGCAGTTCAGTTGGGAACAAACATTCAATATGCATGAACTAACAGGACCAATCCAAAAGAAAGCAGCCAAAATGATTACCAAACCATTACCAGGAAATTCCCAGACACAAATGGCTTATCTCCCAGAGAATCCAACCCATTTTCATACATTACTATGATTACATAGTCAAAGTACAGTGGACAAATCCACAAAGGAAAATCTGTGCATATGAGCGTTCCTCCTGGTGCTGGGGTTAACACACTTGTTCAAGAGTTCTGGCAAGCTTAAGCCTAGTACATTTTGGTTTTCAATTGCTGAAAAGCCATTTTCAGTATTTCCAGCTATGTATTTTTATTTGTCCTTTTTATCAAGGCATAATAGAATGAAGAGGAAATATGCCTCCTCACCTAGAACAACAAACAAAAGGGAAAACTACAGTAAGTGCTGCAGCATTCACTCGCTTTGCCTCAAAAATAGCATATCCAAAAGGCCAGGGGTTGAGTGGGGAAAGCGCACGAGGAGACACTGCTACAGACCTCCACTCTGCTGTTGGCTTTGTTCAATGTACGATGATGGACACTTCTTAGCTGTAATACTCTCACCAGCTAAGCGCTGTGTGCCCCCCAGCATGTCCCTTAACTCTTGGCTTCATTTTCTTCCTCTGCCAAATGAGGTAGCTACTTCTTCTCCAAATAAATATTACAAAGAAGCCCAGCTGCCAGCTCGCTGATTGAAGACATAAGCATTATATAAGAGCTATGTGTGACTAATGCCTGGTGGTTGTACAAGTTATTTCTGTCTTAATTCTGCTTTTTAAGGATGATCACCTGTTATCAAAAGATGACTACATATGTGCTAGTGATTTTTCAGTAATCAGCTATTTACATTCCACCCAGAATAAAGCCTACTGTGAATGGGGAAAATAAATAAAAAAAAAAAAAAGAAAAAAATCAGATGTAATAACAGTTCTCTGAAATCTAATTCAACTCCAGAACATGTTGGTTACCAGGAACTGCCGAAGCTCTGAATTTAATCAACATTTCCAGATTCTTGCGTACCCACTGTCATCAAAGCATTATCTTGCTTATGGGAACAGCATGTGACATTTTTACTGCTTATAATCTTGGTACAACATAAAAGCAATTCTGCACTAATAATGACTTTTCCCACGGATTATGTTTCTTCCAGCTATGCTGCCATTATCACACCTTTCTATAAACCATTCATTTTAAGTGCCTGGCTGCACCGTTGGTTGGTTCAATTACCCAAACATTAATTATGTTTCCTTTCTTCACTAAATCTGCTAGGCTTTAAACAGAAACTAAGTTTATTTTTTAATTCTATAACTAATGGAATAAGAGCAGTTTTATGTAATTACTAAGAACAATCCAGGAATGTGTTTCTGTGCTTTTTAAACTGGCTTCATTCCTAGCCAAAACCAGTTTGACACAAGCCACAAGTGTATATATAATCATTTTAGGAATATGAATAATATTGCATATTTTTCTAAGATGAAAAAGAAAGTGTGAATGCTTAAATTGATGCATAAAGGAATCTCCTAATGTTTTCTGAGAAAAGACAAAGTGTCAAATTTTTCAAAGTCGTGGTCACAATAACTATATATTACATAAAATAAAAATTTAATTTAATTTGCCTATTTTAATCATAATTTCTGACATTTTCCAGTTATGCTATATTTATTTTAGCTGATACACAGGGAGCAAGCCTCAATCTGTCAGGACAGCGCACACACTTAAAGCAGTAACAAGCATTTCTAGAAAGCCTTCAAAGGTCACACACATACACAAGTTCTATAGCTACAATTTATATTGCTTCAAAATCTTGTTTCCATATTTATATGCAAGTGGGAGAGGGAGGAAGAGGGAAGTGGCATCAGAAAAACACTTCAATGAGTCTGAGTACTGGCAAATTATACAGCAGAGAAAAAAATGTGGTTTTTCTCTTACTGTTTTACTCAGAGCTAATGGTTATCAAATATACCTATTTCTTATAAATGTTAATATGGATGGATGCATGCATCTGTCTATTTTTATCCATATACACATCTATCTACATATGCTTGTGTATTACCATGTATCAATATATAGGATGATGCAAAAGATTAAGAAGGCAGAAAACTGTAGGGAAGCAGCATAGCCGAGGAGGCTGCTGAGGACTGTTGCTGTGGAAGGGCAGGGGTAAGGCAGCACAGCTAGTCAAGGGTACCATGCATGCCACCTAAGCTGTGCATATGGGCACAGAGAAAAGAAAACTGGGTCTCACAGAGCAATACAGAGCTCCAGATGATGAAGACATGACAGTCTTGTAGGGTAAACAATCACACCAAGTCCCTAGAGAAGCAGGGAGGATGGGATGAACAGGGATTTAGGAGCTTGAACAGGCAGCAGGAACAAGAAGTTTAGCACCTACTGACCAGAGCACAGGTGCTCCCTGGAGAGAAAATGGTTGCTGCAGGGAGCACAACTTCTGTGGTTCATTTTTTAAAAGCCAATTCACAAACCATTTGTGATAGTCACAGCCAATGCCACTGAGAGGGGGAGAAGGAATAGGGGGGAAACTACAAAAATTCCTCTAGAAGACCTTTCCTTATAAGGTTTTGGCTCATACTCTGCACCTGGAGTAAAATAAAGTGAGTTCAGAAGCTCTGAATAACATCTATATACAGAGCTTCAACCAATGTATATCTTAAGGAATTGCCTGGCTACACGCCCTACAGCAGCAGAGTAACGGAGTTTGCCAGAGGTCACCTATTCTTGCAATTAAAAATGTATTGCTGCCATTTGTCCTTCAAAACTTACCCCTTTCCTTGACCAGTCTACAAGTTTTTGTTCATTAATTAAAGTTATTTCCATTCATCTTGCATTCCTTCTTGGCTCTTCTGCTTGAGATCATAGTTTCAGTAATTAACTGAATGGTTTACCCAGCAGCTAATTCTGCTATCAAGTCACAGGCTGCAGTAGAATTAAATTTTTTACGAGTATTACAACACAATTTAAAACAGAAGGCAACACTGAAATAGGATCTAGTTATGGCATTGCTTCCTGTGAATACGATGATGTTATTTAAGCCCTGCAATTTCTTTAGAGGGCCTTGGATCAATATGAAAGCCTCCACTTAAAAAAGCAACCGTGAAAACTCCCCAAAACATTAGCAGCATTCTTCACACAAGAAAAGTTGCACACGACAGAAACTGTGGATCTGGGAGTCATTTTAATATATTGGTCCCAATATAGCATAAACAAAATACTGTTTCAAATGGGAAGGGAAAGAACAGCACTAAAAATATCTGGTTTTTCCTTAAGCCCCAGCAATTCCTGCTGAGGCCATGCAAAACAAAGACCACAGGAGCCCAAAACATTTAATTCTTGTCAAAGTATCAACAAGTATCTTAAAGTACTTGAGGATGAAGAACATCTCTGGCCTTTAACGCAGACCAGCCAAGTATGTAGTTCACACAGGTTACCAGTGTGCATCAGCAGTCGGCTCCAGGATGCATTCTAAGTCCTCTAGAAGCATGCAATCTTGATCTCCTCTTCTTTCTGCAAATTATTAAATGTTGCAACTTGCAGGGCTAGTGCACACTGTTAGTGCCCAAGACTGAAGTAGTAGTATGACAAGACTCGATGTGCTAAATTAGTTACACGGAAACAAAATATGATCACAGGCATCCTTTTACCGCAAGTAAATTTTGCATGGGTATTATTTACAGCCCTACTGTTGGAAAAGCTACTGGTGAATTTTTCTCTAAAGAGCCATAGCTGTAGCACTCTCTCTTGCCTTCCCTCCTGCTCAACCTTACCTCCCTGCCATGCTTTACAGCGTTTTCGGGCAGAGATTTTGGTTGAGTCAGGACTAGTGGTTATTTCAGCAACAATGAAAGGCAGTCACACTGTGTCAGTTTTATCCAGATAAAATCCTGAGTAGAAAAAGAAAATCAAATTTCACAAGGACTGGATCAAGACAGTGTCAAACATAGCAGGACAGTCCCTGCCAGTTCCAGCCTGAGCAAGTTCCAACAGCTCACACAGCTCAGAGGTATGGTGGACCTTGAGGACCCTAGCACGCTTCAAGCCAAGCTTCAAAAATGTCTTTTCCCCTGTAATAGCTACTTCAGTAACTGCTAGAGGAGGGCCAAGCACCAGAACTGAGAATACAGTTTGTCTCTCTGTCCTCTTGGCCATCCCATGGTGCTCCTCTGTGTAGAAGCTGTTTAATTCAGACAAAAGCAGACAGAGCAGATCACGAGGGAAAGGAACATCTGAAAATGGGGCATTTAGAGGTATTATGCAAGCCATTTTGGTGGCAAGTCAGTGTCTGGCTGCTTTCAAAAACCCCACCAGCTATCAGGCCAAGAAAGTAACGTTAATTAGAAAAAGTAGAAGTTGAGCAGTTGAATCAAAAGTTTGGGACTGAGTAAATGTGGCTGGACTTCTCACAAAGATACTGAGAGTCAATAGGGAAACTGAGGAGACTGGAAATGGCATGTCAGAAGGGACACTGGAAGAAAACACGGAGCACAGAAATTTTGCTACCAAAGGAAACTAAGACTATAGACAAACATGTACGGAGACAGATAAACAGGACTAGGGAGAAGGGGGTCACTCTGCCCTCCCACGTGTTATGGAAGACAAACTGGCCCAGCAAAGAGACAGGATTAAAAATTTCTTATAAAACAGGGTATGGCAAAGGGATTAAAATGGAAGCTGATTGGAGAAATGCCAAGGAGAGACACAATGCAGTAGGAGCTGGGAGAGGGAGCTGGAACTTGCAGGGAGAGACGAGGAGGCCTGGGCATAGGAGAGGGAACTGGAAGGGGCATTGCTCTTCTGATATCACTGTCCAGAAGCCAGCCAGGGTGTAGCAGGGCCAGGCGCTGAAACTGAAGAAGGAAACCTAGTGAAGAATTGGATGGGGAGGATAAGAGAAAAGAAGGTATAAGAGGTATTGGGACAGACTGCAGGGAATGGAGTAAATAGGGCCATAGTTAGACATTGTCTGACAGCAGTTCCTATGAACTTTGACACTGGCTGATAGCAATTTCTATGAACTTTGCTGACACAGTAGAAGCAGATGGAGACTGTAATAGGGATGCAGTAAAATGTGAGGGTGAGAATAAGAGCAAGTCAGGAAGTCAGGCTGGATGTTGAACTTAGGCAAAGGGATGGGACTGGGAGCCAGCAACAGAACTGTCTTCACATGGTCTGCTCCTTTGCAGTTTTTTGCAAAGGACATCTACCTGCTTTTGTTGTCACTTACCATATTAGTTCCACTGATTTTTTTTTTAAAGTACAGGGAAAACGACATGCACACAAACAGGTGACTACATAAAGAGAACACTACCAAGGTCATCATTAAGACAGGACAAAATTAAAGCTGTCAGCATGACTTGAATTCACCTCCTCTTGCATACAAGATAGTTTAGAAGGGCATACAGTTTTTCCTATGTCTACTCCAGGGTACAGTGGATGCTCTTTTATAGATAAACTGGAATCAGGACTGTGGCGTAAAAAAAAATCTGTAATTAGAAGAGCTGAAAAGTGTGTAGTGAAAGAATACAGGAAGAATAGTTTCTCTGCATAAGGCAGTGCAGCCCTGAAGAACTGGATTTTCTCTCAACCAGTTCCATAGAGTTTCAAAGCAACAGACTTAATCTAGATTTCTCAGAGAGGATTACATTCTAATGGCCAAAGCAACGTCCTGAGACCTGATCTGCAAACCTGCTCAGCGCTCACATCTGCAAGAGAATATACTGGAAGAGGTACTCCAGATGCAAGGTAATATGACACAACACATAGATAACGCTAAGTCATCCCAAAATTCAGGATTTGGGCATCTCAGGTTGCTTTCTTTCCCTTTAAAGTACTTTTTACTTTATTTTTTGCACCTTGACTCCCACTGAACCCTGTTCATGCCCTCTCTTTATAGGTATCACAGAGATGCTAATCCATGTTTGTTGCTGTAGCAATAACCATGACAGAAAAGCCCACAAGTTAATAAGCCTGTATTAACAGCAGGGTTCAAAAAGCATGCAGTGAAAGGCATGAACAGCCAGGGTAAACAGTAAGTAGATGCTCATTAGGTAAGCTTTGTCCATCACATACACTGATGGAGCCAGAGACCCTGGGGAAAAAACAGCAGCATCTGATAATGTAATTAATGTTTATATCTTAATGCACAGGAACACAGGTTGCGGGGACAGTGCTACTAATCAATAGTCATAAAGGCTTGACTTTGTAACCTGAACAATGTCAGATTTTAAGTACCTGGCCTCGTAGAAATAATTTTTTTTAATACATTGAACAAATTGTATGTGTTCAGAAGACATTTGATGGTAAGGCAGTTGTAGATTTGTCCTGGGTTCAGCTGGGATAGAGTTAATTTTTTTTTTTTTTTCAGGAACCTGGGAGGTGGGGTGGCATAGCTGGGGCAGCTGACCTGAACTGGCCAAGGAGCTATTCCATACCATGTGACATCATGCTCAGTATATAAATGGGGAGCGGGCCGGGGGGTGGGCTCTTCTTTTCGGTGGGGGAAGTGGCAGAGCGTCGGGTCCCGGGTGGTGAGCAGTTGCACTGTGCATCACTCTTTTTGTATACTTTTTCATTAGTACCGTTGTTGTTGTTGCAATTTCTTTGTGTTGTTCCAGTAAACTGCCTTTATCTCAACCCTCGAGGTTCCAGGTTTGTTTTTTTTCCTCTCCTCCGTCTTCCCCCCATCCCACCGGAGGGGGGCGGGAGGAGTGAGCGAGCGGCCGCGTGGTCCTTTGTTACCGGCTGGGCTGAAACCACGACAAGAATACACTATGCAAGAAAATATTACTGTGAATAATATGGTATTATAACAATGGTTTACTAAACCAAATAAAATAAGCACAATCTAAGTATTTTTAGAAGACCAAAGTGTATTTTATCCACTTATATTAACAAAGTTACTCATCATGGTATTTGCACAAATTCTTATCTGCATTAGCTACTGGTGCAGAAGGAAAACAAAACCATGTTCGGTATTACAAATGCCGTTTATCAGCCAGAATCTTTCAAAAACAGTTTTAATACTGTCACAGTGGGGAAAAAAAAAGGGGGGAGATGTGATCAGTGTAATTCTGTAACATCATTTCTGCTACCCTAATGGGCATTTCCAGTCACACTCATGCCAGCGCATCCATGACATCCATGTCCAATTTGCACTAGTGTAATGGAGATCAATCACTGACCCAGTCTAACAAAATTTGTAGAAAACTAAAATCACTTAGCAGCTCAGGCAGTATTCTTATTTCACCAAAGAAAAACTAATTTGGGCTTATCTACAAAAAGGAAAACACCACCAGAATAATATCTCTATCTCATAAATACACAGTTTTAGCCTTAAAAGATCCTATAAAATCAGTATGACAGAATCCCAAGCTCATTATCTTTCACAACTTCACATCAAGCATGCTTAAGTTTGCATGCAATATTATTTTTCCTTTAACTCTCAGCCCTGCAAACTCAGCTGTGTGTCAAGTTGGGTTCCTTCTGTCCCACATGTCACCAACAGAACTGAAGTTTCTCCTGGCCAAACATGTCTGGTCCCATTAAGTGAGTGCCAAAGTGTCAGCTGCGAGGAAAGAAAATGTCCTTAGTGGCTACTCCTAGAGTGCAACAGTATGGGAGACACACACCTTTATACCCACTCCCTGCCCTCATAAGGACAGGCAAGAAGACTTCAAAACTTTACATCATACATCGTATCTTCAACATATCTGCTTTTTATTTTAAGAATAAAATAAACATCCATTATGTCATGCAAACTGGAAACTAGAGATCTCCAAATCTTTCAATCCCAAAAAAGTCCATTCTCATTCTTCCCCAGTCTTTCACTCTAGAAAGAAATAAGAAGGGACTCTACTCCCTTCTCCCTGCCCATTTCTCTTACTCCCTTTTCACTGCCAGTTTTGGGACATAGACTCCTGAGTTTATGGGAGATCCTAGAGGGCAAAGAGTACCAGAGCAGCTAAAAAGCAGGCATATGTTGTAGCAAAGGAGTTCCTAAAATGGGAAGGATGATCTGGAGGCACAGCCTGGGGGTAAAACCTTGCAGCTGGCTGGATGTCAGCACAGGGAGGGAACCTGAGGGATGTCCACATTGGATCCCTCACTATGGCTGGATAAGCTCTGGATTTTTTCCATTCTGAGGATGGATGGTGCCTCTGTGTCACCCCCAGCCCCACTGTGGGTGCCATCGTGCAGTGAAATGCATGTAGGAGGCTCAGCATGCAGCAACATGTAACCATATTTACTGTATGAGAACCACAAGGGATAAATGACATTTAGCAGCCACCTTTCCTTCTTTCTCCTCAAAGAAGATAAACTCAGGGTTTTCCTGGCCACTCCCTCCCCCCACCTTCTCTTTCACTAAATGTTCAGAGCCCCTCTGTAGCCTGCCCTGGCCCTCTCCTGTCCAGCTCCCCCCAGGATAGAGCAGCAGGGTCCAGCCTTAGCTCTCAGTCTTACGCTCCCTTTTCCAACCTGACAGGAGCTGTTGGGCAAAAATTACCTTCCCAGGCACTCACCTCCTTCCCCTGCAGGCCTACAGCCACCCCACTGTACGGTTTAAGATTTTCTAAATCAAGACATTTGTAATTAAAAAATAAAATATTTACAGCAAACACAGATGGC